TTGGCACGGGATGAAAATTATGTGTCAAACACCTTCGAAAGACAAAACTGACAAATCTTGTTGACATAGTGCATTATATTGATGGGCACGCTTACCACTAAAAAAATATCATCGTTCAATTCTAGAATAAATCTTGAAACAATACTAGCATTTGTGCCAAGTCAACAACCCAAGTGGATAGAGGAACCTAACTAATTGAGCTATGCTCAATTTGCCATGCAAGTCAGCTCACTAGTTTTTTATATACACCAACATTTCTATTAGCATATAACATTCTTGGGAAACTCTAACTTTAATGTTTTTCTTGAAAAATCCATAATGGAGATTGAGAGGGGGGGGGAGAGGAGGAGGAGGAGGAGGCCTGTACATATATAAGTACTATCCATTTTCTACTAGTTTTTTAAGAATCCAGACAAACTAACAAATACAAATTTGAAACATAATGAAGATGGGCACTTCTGGCATCTCCTGGATATTAATCAAGAGCCTACCATTAAACCTATACATAATTATTCACCTGTTCTATGTATAAATTTTCTGGCAACCCTACTACCACATTCCCCTGTCTCTATAAGGTCTCTCATTGACTCATCAAGAGTGCCACCTCCATCTCCCCTTCTCCCTGTTCAGCTCTTCCACAATTATCAACCATCACAAAACATTCATCTTTCCTATCAACCTCATCGATGCTCGTCTCAACTTTCCCTTTACCTGGACTAGTCATATATATATATATATCCCTCTTTCAAAGTCATTAATCATAAAAGACCTATAGAAAATCCCATTGTCAACCCTGATGGAGTCCAATCGTGTGAAATAGCAGTCTCATGGCAAGAAACAAGGTGAACATGGTGGCAAGATGCATGATTATGATGGCAATAGAAGTCAAGAGTCTAGTAATAGGGAACATGAGTCCAATAGAAAGAAACACGAATCACGTAGAAAGAGGTAAGGCATACTCCAAAATCTTGGCTTCAAATTCAAGTTAAATCTATGTATACATGTTTATTTGACTTCTGAAGATATGTTTATGCTTAGTACCTTCATGCATATGAGTTTGAACAATTTCACAATAAAATAGTATTAAATCAATATGATCAGGAATTATACCATGAAATTTTTAGAGACTGATGAGTTGCACTATCATACCATGATGATTATATGTCATTTCTTTCCAATATAAAAAGTTTTCTTAAGCCTTGCACTCAGAATATTGATAGAATGGAATTTTGTATGTGGAATTCCTTGCCACATGTTGTGTAACATCCATTTGTAATGCTTTGCGTCTAGTCCATTTTGTGTGTTATTGTTATGTAAATAATTCTTTTTCAAATCCAATTTTGTTTCTCCACATATCTAGAATATAGAATAATTCTTTAAGAATTGAAAACAAAGCGTTAACTTAGGAATGCATTATTCAATATATTTATGCATTTTCTCCCATTATGGGATATATATCTCAAAATTTGGCATGTAATAACTTGGAACATTCCTTACATTATGTTGGGCTGATTAGTGTCATATGTCTGGATTAATTAATTATTTGTATTGCTATTTTAGTAGATGTTTGTTGTTTACCCAATAAGAAAAGGCCATTATAAAGAGAAACAATGTTATTAGATAGAGTTAGTCTTTACATTTTATATTCTTTTAGCCATTGGATCTTGCGGCGTTTCAAACACATTCCTCCCTTTTACCCCTAATTCCATCTCTTTTATCTTTATCTATCCTATACCTTATCTTCTTTCTACACTAACACTTACGCATATACCACTCCTAGCCTTGCTGCAACTACCAACAATCAATTACTGCTACCTCGCTAGAACCAAAGATAGGTCCATTGGTGCACACTACATTAGATCCTCACTATTGGGACTCTTCATCCATCCTAACTCCCCAACATGATTTCAAAAAGTTTTCCCCTACCATGTCATCCTACTCCATCTCCAATGTTTTTTGGAACTAGATTCTCTCCACCCGCCACCACCAAGCTAACGACAACAAAATAACACCCCTATAACAAGTGGTGGAGGTGAACCAAAATTAAGGGGAGGGGGCAATTTTAAATGGTAGTATTGTAGATATCAAAGCTTCTCAACTCAGGGCTATATGTCTACATATAGCTGCAGTCCTATGAAGCATCAGACATTTTTTGAATGAACTAAATCCTTTTAGAAGAAGGGGTGGATGCCTAGTTTCATCTCCATGAGCTTCCACCCATGCCTATAAGCTCATCCACTGATTGAAGGTTCTTCATTGCTAGAGCCTACCTCTTATTACCGCCATGATAACTGACTTTTGTCCATACTATTCTCTCTAAATTCATGGGCATGTGCTAAATCCCTACCCCCAAGAGCCATTAATCCTCCAAACCCATCCTTAAGCCCAAACCAAAAACATAAATCTAATTTCAACATAATTTAGGTAATATGGATCTGCGTGATATTAGTCACTTAATCTAGCAAGCTCTATAAAAAATAATTCCTCCTCACGTGTAACAGGACCATAAAACTGTACTATATTTGACAAAGTTAAAAAAAGTCATCCTCACATGTTTTACAAATTTAGGTCTAGAAAGTTTAGCAGAGTCTGCATAAACTTTTAATTAACCATGAACATTACCAAAAACCCTTCTTTGTTTCTTCAAAGTAATGTCCCCTCCCCCTACCAAAGGGCCTCTAGTCCAGTTGGTCAGAGTACCTCGGCGGCACTCCTCAGGTCATGGGTTCGACTCCTCGTGGGAGCGAATTTCAGGCTGAGGTTAAAAAAATCCCCTCGTCTGTCCCATATCCAAAGCATTGGGGGGCACCGGCCTTCTCACTTGGGCGATGGAAAGCCACCGTGTAAGGGTGGGGCGGGGGTTCGGGGTTTTTCTCGGCCTGGTGAGAAGGTCTTCTTCTTATTTGGAATGTTGTGGGGGCAGTCTTAACCCCTTCAGGTCGAGTCCCCTCCCCCTTCTTCCCCAAAAACATCTTCATTGCACGGCATGGCCTATCACGATGAAGATCCCACAAGGGATTACTAAATCACTACACCATACAAGGATGTGGATGGATTTATATATACATTCATCTGTCTTAATTTGCATGTAAGTAGTACAACCCTATTGCATGATTAATTGCAATCTCTTATTTTTGATGTAGCAAGTTTTCTTAGTCCTTGTATTCTAAACAATGATTGATTTAATCAATTCCTTGTTGCATCTTGTGTCTCACCCATTTGAAATGCTTTGTGCCTAGTCCATTTAGATGTGGTAAATCCTTCTAAACTTTTCCTCCCCTGCAATCCTTCTAAAAATACATTGACATGAGGAAAATCCTTGCCCCCTAAGTCAAGAATGTGTCAACTCACAACCCCAAATCTTTAATCCTAACATCTAAATCTTGTTTAAATTTTTCCTATTCTAGTCCATTTGTAGTGCTTCGTATTTAGTCCATTTGTCTTATGTGCCTCATGTGTATAAATAATAGGGAGGTGTATATAATAGTCAACAAGTTTTGTCTTTTGTTGTCGAATCCATTTTCAATCCTTTTTGTTTGGTTCGCTTGTTGTTGTTGTAAAAAATTCTGCATGCTTCATCAACAAACTAAAATCATTTGTGTCTACTCCGTAGTGACATCCAAACTTATCGATCACCATAAGTTAAACCACCATTGAGTATCAACCTTGCCCTAAATGGTAAGAAAAGTTGAAAGGAAGAAGTGATGGGTTGCAATTAGTACAAGAAGTGCTCCGATGAAAGATCTTTAGCTAAATCCTTAAATTTCTTTCTTTTCTTCCTCTTTGAGATATGGAAGTTTTAAAGATTTTAAAAACAAAGTTAATGGATCATGTTGTCAATAGGTGACTTGTATTTTGCTTACAAGTTAATCACTTTTTGTAACCGTTGGACATAGATCCAACGGTCTAAATCATGCCCCTTTAACCTAAACCCTAATCTATTTCCTCCTACTCACTCGTTATGCCGCCGCCGCCGCTTGCCTGGACCCGGTATATATTGCTCACCCTCGATGTGTGTTGCCTCACTTCGTCTCGCCGGCGTGCCTCTCCCTCTCCACCCTCTTTACCATGATAGCACCCTTGTTACCCTCTATATCGTCGATGATTGGGTCGAGCTCCCTCGCCGCCATGGTCAACGTCTGGCTCCGATGGCCCTGCCGCCTTCACCGGTCGTCGACAGACTCCCACCACTTGGGCGAGGTAATATCACTGCCTCCTCGCCATTCTGCCTACTGCTATTGTCCTGAGGTGAATTTTTCCATCCCCTAGCAAGGGTAAATGCCTAATCCCAAACCCTAATCCTAAATCCCAGTCTGGCAGTCCTGCTCTTCGAGGTATCTAATCTCAAAATTTTGACTCTAGTGTACTATAAGGAGCAAATTTGAAAATTAAATAATGAAAAAATGGCTTAAAACCTGTTTGGAAATTGGAGCGCAGACATTTCGTTGTTCCTATGTTTTTAAAAAAAAAACAGACTGATTCGTGTAAAATTTCATTCAAAATTCCTGTCTTTCGAACAGGCACTGAATTCTATTGCCTGGACCCCGTCCTATGCTTGCCCAAACCCACAAAACCCTCGCCGTTGCGCCGCAGCCCGGTTGCCTCTGCGGCCGCCGCGACACTAGTAACGGTCTACAACTGTACACCAGAAAGGCTGCAGAATTCAATTCCAGCAAATTCCAGCTTTTGTTCTAGCTTGGATTTGAGATTCGATTTGAAGTCTGAAAGCCCCTTCCAATTTGCTAGTCCTCTATTTAATCTCTGCTGTGCTGCGTTAAATCCCTAAACTCCACAGTGCGGCGCCGCCCCAGCCACGCCGGAAGAGGTCGCCGCGTGAGGTTACCATCCCCGTTGCCGCCGCCTCTAACCCGAAGCCCAGGCCGCCGCCGGTGCATAACAAGGAGAATCAGGCGGAGGGGGAAGCAGCAGAGGAGGGGGGAGCAACTGAGGAGGGGGAGAAGTACCGGGCGGAACCGGAAATCCTGCCGCTGCCGCCGGCCATGGCGAAGCTGGGCCCGGGGCAGGGGCTCGGGTGCGAGGCGGCGGAGGGGTCGCTCGTGCCCAACCGGAAGCAGGAGTACAAGCCCTGCGGCAAGCACACTGAGGGGAAGCGCCCGCTCTATGCCATCGGGTTCAACTTCATGGACGCGCGCTACTACGACGTCTTCGCCACCGTCGGCGGCAACCGAGTAAGCCATCGACTGCTCCCTCTTGTTGTCCTTCTTTGTTTCTTCCTGAGGTTTGGGGAGTTCTTGATGATGAATGACAAGGTAAAGCTATGATTTTTGGTGATTTTGGTGGCAGGTTTTAATTAGGAAGCAGAGCGCTTTTGTTTCAAATTCGATCTAAAGCTGAGACATTCGGTTATTTTTTATTTGGGATTTGTTGTCTGTAATATTCCGAGTATTGTGATTTGTTTTGCCGAAACATGGAGTTTGCTAGTTCATTTGATGAAAAGCTGCAACCTTTGACAGAGAATCTGTATCATTGGGGAAAGTATAGTGAGGTGTGGGGAATCAGATAGTACCGATATTACTTTGATTAATGATTATAAGATAATCTTTTAATGTCCATGCTGCTTTCACCTGCTTGTGTTGAGAAGTCGCTTATCTTGCCTCTTGATCTTGCAGGTGACAACTTACCGCTGCCTTGAGAATGGTAGTTTTGCTCTTCTACAAGCTTACATTGATGAGGATGTAAGAAAGACAATGCCCACTGCCTTTTCTTGCTGATTTTAAGTTTGATAGTGTGCTTTCTCTAATGCTCATGACGCCTATTTACCTCAGAAGGATGAGTCATTCTATACTCTAAGCTGGGCTCGTGACCATGTTGATGGCTCACCACTGCTGGTGGCAGCAGGAAGCAATGGGATCATTCGGGTCATCAATTGTGCTACAGAGAAGTTAGCTAAGGTATGGTACCCTTAGACTTGTATGTGTTCCTATGGCAAACTTGAATGAAGCTTTACTTGCATTATCAATAGTTGGACTGTTAAGGACTGTTGCTTGCTATGGTATCTTATCCAGAAGGTCATTTGAATTTGCTTTAAGTTAAGGACTGTTGCTTGCTATGCATTAATACCATTAGCAAACTGTACCTTTTGCCTACAGAATATTCTGGATTTTGAATACTTCAATATGTCCGTTATAGACTTTTAGTCAAGACACATCAACCTACTGTATCTATTTTTACGTTATACGTATTGTCAAGAGATAGGGCATGCTAATAAATACTATCCCCTAGGACGTGCACTGTGTGTCTTATTTGGTAATTTTGTTTACGGGATTCTGCAGAGCTTTGTTGGCCATGGTGACTCAATAAATGAGATAAGAACTCAACCGTTGAAGCCTTCGCTCATCATTTCTGCAAGCAAGGTTATGTGATAACCTGTTCTTATGTTCAATGTACCTTTTCTTTTATAATTGTTCTGAGTTTTGACACCATTTCATATGACATTATCGAATAGGATGAATCTGTTAGGCTATGGAATGTCCATACAGGGATCTGTATCTTGATATTTGCTGGAGCTGGAGGTCATCGCAATGAAGTGTTGAGTGTTGTAAGTAGTGCCTGCTTATTATTATGACATTGTTTTAGAACATTACTTGCTTAAAGTGCCTTGATTATACCATTCTTTCAGCTTCTGATGTTATCATTTGTTATTGAGCGTTACATCAGGGATAAAATAAGACTCCCTAATGACTGCTACTTCTTTTGTACTTCAATTACATTAGGCATAAAGGTACTGATGAATACATTATTTTGTCTTAAGGACTTCCACCCTAGTGATATTGAACGCTTTGCAAGTTGTGGCATGGACAACACTGTGAAAATCTGGTCAATGAAAGGTTAGAAAGCTACTTCAAAGTAGCTTCATGTTTGCATTTGCATGTTGCATGTCATTGAGTTTGCCAATGTTGTCGCAGAATTTTGGCTATATGTTGACAAATCATATTCATGGACTGACCTTCCATCAAAGTTCCCAACAAAATATGTCCAGTTTCCGGTATGTTAAACATTCATAATTATCTTTATCCATTCTCTTGTAAATCCCTGTTGGTGTTTAGTCCTCATGCCATCAGACTGACCTGTTTCTTTTGTTTCAGGTCTTGATTGCTGCAGTACACTCTAACTATGTTGATTGTACAAGATGGCTTGGTGACTTCATCCTATCAAAGGTGAAATTTCTGATTCGTTGAAATGGATACAAATTTCTGTAGCACAGTTGTCACTCTTTTGTTGGTTTGACATGCCACTGTCTGGTTCATCTATGGCTGTACTGTGCAAGTGTTCAGTTTTCAATCTTTTTTCTCAGTGCCTAATGAGGGATCTGATCTGTGAAAAAATTCCATTTGCAGAGTGTTGACAATGAAATTGTGCTTTGGGAACCAAAGACAAAAGAACAGAGTCCTGGGGAGGTAATTCAGTTTAACTTTCCCAGAATTGTATACCTATCATAATGCCATATACTTACCTACAGTTGTAAACTATTTCCAGTGATGTCTTAGATTTCAAGGCACTAACTGCCCATATTAAATATATTCCACTGAAGTAATATGATTTTCTGTTGCCTCATAGGGAAGCATTGATATTCTTCAGAAGTACCCTGTCCCAGAATGTGACATCTGGTTCATCAAATTTTCATGTGATTTTCACTTCAATCAGTTGGCGATAGGTAATATCGCTCATCAGGATTGTTTCTGACACAGAAGTTTGATTTAAGATTATTTTTTTTGCTTTGTAAAATTTCACACACCACAAGTTGTTTTGATGTTTTTGAATGGCAATCTGTTAACACATATATATGACTTTTTTCCCCATAGAAATATTTGCTGATCAGATATCTGCAAATAAATTCAGATGTGTTTGATTAGATTTAGAGATACAGGAAAAGTTGACTGCTCTAATAACCATCCACTACTTCAAACAGGCAATCGTGAAGGAAAAATATACGTGTGGGAAGTACAGTCCAGCCCACCTGTCTTAATTGCTCGGTAATTTTTACTGCAAGATTTCAATTATTCTTGTCTTCCACTTGTATTGTTGCTGAATTAGTAACTGTTATGCTTCTGGATGCGAATGCTTCATCATTTTCAGGCTGTATAATCAGCAATGCAAATCGCCAATAAGGCAAACTGCAGTGTCCTTCGATGGAAGGTACCTCACTCTAATGCTCGCTTTGGTGTACTGTCTATTCTAGCATTTGCTTTTTTTTTTGTTCTGCTTGAGAAATTCTCAATAGCATGTCATACACTTCTGCATTTTCTTTTTCTGTTTCCATGGTGGATTGATAAAATGTGACCACGCCTTCCTTATCTAGCACAATCCTTGGAGCTGGCGAAGATGGCACCATATGGCGATGGGATGAAGTGGATCATCCAGGCTCCAAAAACTGAAGCAAGTGTTGCTGCTCTGCCACCAGTGGTAATGCTGGACTGATGGTTACCCTCGACTGGGGTTGTGATGGTGTAATCCGTTGGTGGAAAGTGCCACCTGGTGTTTTTTAGTCAAAATGGTCGGTATTAACTGAATGTTGAATGTTGGCTCAGTTATGCTTCGAATGTTGTAAGTTGGGATGCTTGTGCTGGTACTTTGCTCCGTGGACAAGTGAACTTAATTTGTTGCAACTTTGGGAACCGTTGTTATCTGTTTGTTCTTGCAATTCTAAAAAAAGAGCAAATTTCAGGATGCCTTTTTTTTCCAGTACAAGAAAACTAAGTTTTAGGCTTGTTTTTTAAATTACTCCTTTTTCTAAAAAAAACTGGATTTGTACTGCATTCCTTGTTCATAGCTTTTGAAGTCTTGATAGCTGGGTCTAAAGTTACCATGCCCACTAGTATCAGAAGCCATGTGAAATGTTATTTGTGGAATGCGTGTACAAACCCACCTAAAGTTACCCTTCCGTTAGGTCATTGAATGTTTCCTTACTGTCACATGGAAATCTTCGAATTGCGACCCTGAACTTAAACTCGTTATGGAAGAGACTTGACCGAAACTAGGACTTTAGCATTTAGCAAGCTGCACAACAGCTCCTTCCAAAAAAAAAAAGCTCCTTCAGTCTGTCAGGCATGTTTAGATCCTATATAGCTAATAGTTAGTTGAGGTCCCATATAGCTAAGTTAGCTGTTAAAAATTAGTTAAGGTCTTGTTTGATCCTCAGATAATAAATTAAATAATATCTTATCTACCACCTAGCTAAAAATTAATAGCTATTTAGCTAGTTTCTCCCCGCTAATACAACTAAATAATGTTTTACGTACCACCCATCTAACAATTACTGATTATTAGCTGGTTTCTCCTAACTAACACCTAAATAATCTCTTACTTACCACCCAGCTAACAATTACTAGTAATTAGCTACTTTCTCCCGGCTAACACAGCTAAATAATCTCTTACCTACCACCCAGCTAACAATTACTTGTTATTAGTTGGTTTCTGCAAGCTAACACGGCTAAATAATCTCTTACCTACCACCCAGCTAATAATTACTAGTTATTAGCTGGTTTTTTTTTTCCAGCTAACCCAACTAAATAATCTCTTACCTACCACCTAGCTAACAATTACGTACTAGTTATTAGCTGGTTTCTCCTGGCTAATATAGCTAAATATAGCTAATAGTTAGCTGGTGATCTAAACGGCCCCCATTCAGTATCTATGTGCCCCTTTGGGAGCATGTCAGCTCATGCTTCCACTGGACTGCTATGGCTTGCATCGATCTTTCTACAGCTACAGGTCGCAACAACTTTCTCCTGGGGAACCGGTAGTAACCATTCAATTTGAGCATCGATCTTTCTACAGCTACAACCATTTAGTAACTAATTCAGTTTGATGCTCAGCTACTAGAAAGAGCCTCAACTTTGTCTATCCCAGTTGTGATGGAACCGGTCACTAAAGGCGTGTTTATTTCCCTGCATCAGGGTGGCCCGTTCATCTGAGATGGACCAGACATGCACAATAGTTGCACTGAATAGGATGTGGGCTGGCCTAAGTAAGCCTTTATTTGTTTGCCTACACTAGAGGTGGGCTCTAGCCTTTTTTACTCTCACAATAACTCCCTGGCATGGCCCAAGGCTGCAACATGTAAGCCGAGCTCCAGAAAAACACAGTCCATTTTCGTTTCTTGAGAGCCAGGCCAAAGGGTGCTTTGAGACCCACGCTGGCTGGGCTGGAAAGCTGGACCAGGAAAACAAACAAGAGAAGCTGCAGTTGGGGAGCTTGGCCCATGCTGGCCTGAGCCAGGCAAACAAACACGTCCTAATAGAGTTCTAATGCTATCTTTTAACGTTAAATGACCTGGGGAATTTGCGCTCAGGGCTTTTTATGCTCATTAGCTCAACCAAAGGGTTCCCAACATGGCTACAGGTTCATGTTTTCGTAAGTACTCCCTCTGTTTCAAACTATAAGTAGTTCAGGCTTTTATTAAAACATGAGACTGGATTCAACATAGCTACAACAATCTAGACTTAGGATTTTCATCAATATGAGACTGGATTCAATTTCAGTTTCGGTTTTTGCAAGCCTAACAATCTTTTGAAAACACAAAACATTATAGTGGGTCTAAGTTCATGCCATTTCACTAGAACATTACTACATGTTTTATATATAAGGACAACACAAGTTTTATACAAAATTGCTTAATAAATAGCCTTAATCAAGACATTAAAAATTAAGAGCATGGTATTAATCACTTATCTCCTAACGGTTTGACCTAGTATTTTTATGTGGACAATAAGCTTAAGCAACACACAAAACATGCAACGAAGGAGAATTATGATGCTCACGACAAGATTATGAATTTAATTTAAAGGCTTAACACCGAGGGTGTTACACTATGTTTTGTGAACTCAAGTATTATCTAACTTGTATTCACTGTCAGCTGTAGTGGCAAATTACTAAGCTACTTCTTATCTCCATGGACATGCAACAAGAAGTCCCAAGAAATAGTTGGCTCAAATAAGACCGAGGCATCCATCTTCTGTATCCATTGTGGTGAAAAACAAACAACCCCACATTTGTCTTTTTTACATTGCTTATGGTGAAGCATTCACCCGTCGTGATGCATGGTCAGATTTATGCCTTAGTGACGGTAAGGACCGTGACACCTAAGAGGGAGGAGGGGGGAGGGGACTAATTAGGCAACTTAAAAATCTACTTCTAACTATAGCCTCTAATTTTCACCTTAGCAAAACCTATGCAATAAGATAAACTATCTAAATGTGCAACTATGATTTTGCTAGTGTGTTGCTATCTCTACCGCAAAAGAGTTATGCAACCTAGGTTCCAATACTATCAACTAGCCTATCAACTAAGCTAGGAAAGGTAAAGCACACAACCAAGATTGCAATACAAATGTAGAAGCTAAAGATGAGGTAGAGATGCAAACTTCCGTTGACGACTCTGATATTTTTACCGAGATATCGAGAAGCAGCCAGCTTCCCCCTAGTCCTCGTTAGAGCCCCTTGCAAGAGCCAAGCTCTCGGCCGGGTAACTCCGTGATAGCCTTGGGCCTTTCCCACACACAAGTGGGTCTCCGATGTGCTTTCTGCAAGCCTCTCCTAGATTGCTCCCCGCCATCTTGACTATCAAGCTTCTGGCCAAAACGCCGCTGGCCTTGTTCTCTCCGGTACACGGTGGCAGCCACACCACAAATGCGGTTGGTGTGGTCTGGCAAGACTACAAGCCCCACTGAGTACAAATGCGATGCGCGCAAGCACCTTTGATCAAGAGGTGTGCAAACCTCACTAGCAACTAAGCCTAAGCCTAAGCCTAGAGCAAGCGCATAAGCGGTGGTCTAACTAGCCTAAGCACTTTGCAAAGAACCTACATTAATCACCATGCATATCACTAAGCACTATGCAAGTGGAGAGCTCTAAAATGGTGTATCAACACCCCACACAAGTTTCCCAACTCCTCCACACATGAAATAGCCACTTGGGGGCTTATTTATAGCCTCCCCAACTCCAAAGAGCCGTTGAACTCTTGCTACTCTCGGGCAGAGCCTGGTGGTCCCACCATCCATCGTGGCGGTCCCACCGTGAGGTGTGCCAATGGTCGATTGGTGCTCCAATGGCCACTTGCAGCTCCTGGAGGTCCCACCACCCATCTTGGCGGTCCCACCGTGAGGCACACCAATGGTCAACTGGCGTTCCAATGGTCGCCTGCAGCTCCTAGAAGTCCCACCGCCCGTCTTGGTGGTCCCACCACGAGGCGCGTCAATAGCATACCTTCTTCATGCTTTAGTATTTTTGGCGTAACTTTTAGCTCCAAACTCCGATTTTGATGATCTTGAACTTTTTGGAAAGCTAATGAAGAGCTCTAGAACTTTGAACTGATATCACATTAACTTGAGCAAATCCAAAATCATGAGATAGGATCAATCCATTCAGCTCTTTGTCTCGACTTTAGTTTAATTTGTGTCTTCGCGTTCAGGCTTCTTCAATGTTGTGTCTTCGACTCTTTGATTGACTTCTAGATCTTCTACCAAGCTTCTAATGTATTCATTAAGGTGTAGATCATCTTCTCCATTTGTCCATCTCGGTCCAAGTCCACTATGCAACCTATTAGACTACAAAATAAATACTTGCAAACATATTAGTCCAACTTGGTCATGTCGATCATCAAACACCAAAATTCAAACTAAATGGGCCGATGGTCCATTTTCCTTACAGTGACCATCAACAAATAGCATGCAGAAAAATCAACTCCAAATAAACACTACATCAATACATATAATATGTCATGACTGAGTCTTGGTTTCATAAAAATCGAACCACAAAAAATAAACCAAACTTTTGGTTCCGAAAATCTTATACCATCTATGTTTACCTTATATTGATGTTGTACATATGAATTGTATGAACTTTCTGATGAATGTGGTTCTTGTGAATTGAATTCAACCTTATTCAAATTTGAGCCAAAATTATACAAAATCAAAATAAATTTGAATGTGATGGGATAGCTGAAAGCTTTTGTTTGGTTTTGGTAATTAAGTGCCAACCATGTGGACTAATTCTTGTAATGAGTCTGTTTAGCTAGGGTCCGCTTGTTGGTGATGAACAAGGCACATGAGGTGTTGGAGACGAAGATCTTGATCACATGCATGCAAGTGTTCATCCCTTAGTGAGAAGATGGAGTGAAAGCAAACCTGAAGGCAAATGTATAATAATGTTAGGGTTTTGTTTTTGCCAACCAAAGTGCAATAGAGTGCACAGTTGGGTTTAGGATAGATAGTTGTACTATAAAGAGGGGAGCTCTTAAGTTGCAACAATTATCTAGTGCCACTATATGTGGCTAACAATTGTATATGCATTACTCTTAGTGATGTGGTGAGGATGCAAGAGAAAAGCTTCAAAAAATGTTTGGAAAATGCTTACTCACATGCACAAAGTGTTGGAACACTTGGAGGAGTTTAGCACATTGAAAAAGGCTTTGAAAATGAAGTTTGGTGGGATGTTTTGTGCCCATTGGATTAATTCGGTGATCCCCTAGGACTTGGCACTAGACTAATATGCTTAGTGCAAAAGCCTAAGAGAAGAGGAGTTTGGGATGGGCACTGTTGCCTCGGCGGTTGGACTGCCAACCCTTGGCACACGCTGAAAGCCATCTGTTTAAATTTTTGCACGTAGCGTATAGTCTGGTGGTGCACCACACGGTCCATCGGACTATGACTTGGCACTGTTCACTACCTGGGCCTACCTAACTACACCAGCCATTCAAACCACTAGAGGTGGTGGTTGGACCACTAGAAGGAAGTTGAGCGTGGGAGGTTTCTGTGTTTGAAATAGTCTTAAGCACTTAATTCGGTGCTAAACACCAGACTAATCCAGTGTAAATTTTAGGTTTTGGAACCTCTCTATGTAACACTAGATTAGTTTATTGGTTAGGGCACCGGATCAAATTTATTTCACCAAACTAACTATGTGTTAAAGGAGATGACTTGTGGAGCGTGTCAAAGGTAGCTGTTGCTACCTGACGGCTGGACCGCCAGGCATGCAGTGTGCTGGGTGAGGGGGGAAATGGCTAGTTTTCTTCCCCCCCTCCTATAAATAGATGGGTGCTTGGTTTTGAGGGTTCTCTTGGCCATTTGTTGACATCCCTGCTCCCTCTAAGAGCTGAGCAAACTCCCACTCCCTCTCTCTTGACTTATTGATCATATTTGTTAGAGATTGGGAGACTCTAGTGCATTGCATTAGGTGACACTAGGAAATCTTTGTGATTTAGATTCTCTTGTTACTCTTGGTGATTGCCATCACCTAGCGGCTTGGTGCTTGAGGAGATCATCGAGTACCATTTGGTGATTGTGTGGTGGCTCCGATCATTGGCTTTGTGAGGGGCTTTGTGCTCATCCCCGTGAGAGACTCGCCAAGAGCAACTTTAGTGGAATCATCGAGGCTTGGAGTGGTTCTTTGTGTTCTACCGACTTCCACACTAGTGCTCATGTCGTAGGGGCTGAGCTTGTCTACTTGCAAGGCTAATGATGCAGTGAACTTAAGAATGTGCATCAACTGGGACATAGGTTGCCGGCAAGCAACCGAACCTCGGGGTATATCAATTGTGTCACTTGCCCTCGTTGGTTTGCATTCTCTACACATGTAATTACATTTCATATCTTGTGTTTGTGTAGTTGTTTGTGTAGTAGTAGCTCTCTAAGCTTGTTTGGTTGCTAGTTTAGCTTAGCCTTCTAGTGAGTAGTGTTACCTAGTTGCTCTCCTTGTTAGCTCTCTGGCGGTTAGGTGTTGCCTCTAGTTGCTTGTGTGCTTAATTAGTTTAACTTGCAACTAGGATTGTGTAGGGGGCTTGCTTTGTATTAACTAGGCTAAACAAGTAGTGACTATTGGGATTGTCTCTTATACTAATGCACTTTGCATAATGTCTTTGTGTTTGTAGAATTTGCAATAGGCTATTCATCCATCTCTATCCATCCATAGATCCTTTTAATAGCTTACTATTATCAGTTGGTGGATACAATCAATGGTACAAAATTGAATTTGTACCTTCGCTGACATGAAAACTGCATTACAAATTGAATTTGTACCTTCAGGGTTTTATAATAACTAACAATGTGAATGGACTTTGTACCACTAGAATTTAGAGATAACCAATGGTATGTATTAGAATAGTATCGATAATTTGTATTTAGAATCAATGGAATAGATGGATTTTCACTATTGATTTGGGATCTATGGTACAAAAGGCTATTTCTACACACACTTGTGCACTTTGGAATTATCAATAAAAGCCTTTATTGTAAAGTGAGTGTTCTTACCAATTTAACAGACACTTACCAACTTAAATAAGGTGGCAATGACCATAAATAGAGATATGATGTCGCTTGGCTTGAATGACTAGTATTACTCCATTCACATGTCCATCGCTAAGTTGCATGAAAATAAAAATAGATGTTCAGATAGAGCTCAACTTCGACATTGACCTCACTATCTACTTGGGTTATGATTTGATTTTGCCTTAGTCTCCAATTATGAAAGTTTGATGGAGTCATCATTGACAACTACTTTTAATTCATGTTAGTTGGCTACATTCTTCTTGAGGAGCTTACCGTCTACTTCAGCTTTGAACTACTTTATCTACATTGCATTCAACATACAAAGCTCATGGGGATTCACCACCAAAAATACCATAAATGACAACTTTTCCATCATCGTTCCAATTACAATGGGCTCGCCATTGAGTTTAGCCATGGCTAAACCAACTAAAATTTCATCAAAATCTTAGCCTTCATTGCCTACATCGGTTTGAAGGGCTAGTCATCGACCACGACTTTGAATACCTCAACCACATGCAAAGCTCCACTCATGAAACCTCAAGAGGGGGTTGAGGAGGCTACATTGGGTAACAAATCCATCTAGATGATTGCTAATTGCTCATAAGGATAGACTTGAATAGATTATGGTAACTTCTACTTTGAAAAAACTACTTTGACTATGTAAAACCACACTTTGCTCTAGGAGAGGAAGTGTTGAGCAACCAAGCGGGATCCAAAGTAAAGCCTTGAGCAACCAAGCTAAGGCATGGAAGTGAACCCAAAGACGAAGCTAATTAAGAAGCCTCCAAAATGATCGAAGCACCAGAATGAAGCTAAGAGAGAAGCCTTCAACCTTCACCAATCTCCACCAAGAACCCTTCAATAGATGGTATCTAATTTTTTCCTACAATGAAAACCTATGTCAGCTAGTAGAACAGAGAACAAAGCTTAGGCCTAGTATATGTTGGATATGCATAGTTAGAACCTAAGTTGTGCTTGCTCTTTTCTTCATTCCCTTTTTCCACTAGGTTTTTGGATTAAGTTTTTAGATCGCCATATACACTGCCATGGTTGTAGAGGTGTTCTTAACCATCATAGTTCTGAGTTTTACTTGTTTTTTCTATGTTGTAGCTACTAGGTCACTTCATGCCAGCCAAAACCTAGCAATTGAGGGGCTGCTCATGGGGATTAGGGAAAAGGCCCAGCCCATGTACGATCCAAGGGCATCCTTGTAATTTTTATCCCCACCAAGGATTAGGGAAAAAATAACCCCCTTCTATATAAAGGACTTTCCTCTTTGCTTCCCCCTCTCTCATATTAGGTTAGACACCAAAATTGCAACCGCCGTCACCACCACAGACCACTCGGCACCAGCCGCCGCCGCCGCCACCTCCACTGCCTCAACTAGTGCTACCACCCGTGATTCTTCGTTCTGCCCGCTTCCTGTAGCACTGCTGGTCTACGAACCTTCGAATCTCTCTCAACCTCTGGCATAGGTAAAGCCCATAAGCACTAACCCTAGATCCCCATCTTTAATTTCCATATTTAGTGATTTCAATTGTTGACAAGCAAATATGAAATTAAATCATTTTGGTAATAAGAATTTTGACTATTTTCCCTCTAAAAGCCACTTCCTCTCCCAATGCGAACTCACATGCAAAACCTTTACTATTGCATAGTGTGGCTAGCTTTCCCAAGCCATGAAGCTTCCACCATGATAGTATTAGTAATGCACTTCCACAAAAGGGTTCATATTTAATTTCAGTTTTAGATTTTCCTTTTGGTGTTTTAGCTAAGCTTTGAGACTTGATTTGAAGTATTAGATAACCCCCATCCAATTTCCTTCTAATTTATACTCTATTCAATGCTGATGCTCTTCCTTAAATCCTAGACTTTGCAGTATGGCGCCTTCCAAAGCACGCAGTAAGACGTCACTTCGTGAGATCACTACCATCGTTTCCACTGGGCCCATTGCAAACTCACAACCCGCCAGCTCAACATTGACGAAGGAGGAGCAGCAGGAGGAGGAGCAGTGCCCAAAGGAACCGAAGATCCTGCCATTACCGCCGATCACGGTGAATCTAGTCCCGCAACAAGGGTTGGGGTGTGAAGCGGTGGAAGGGCTGCTCGTGCCTAGCCGAAACCGGGAATACAAGCCTAGTGGCAAGTATATTGTGGGAAATCACCCGATCTATGCCATCGGGTTCAACTTCATGGACGTGCGCTACTATGACGTCTTTGCTGCCACCAGCGGCAATAGTGTAAGCAGCCGACTTATCCCTACCTCTCGTTTGCTGTCCTTTTATCTTCTTGAGGTTCGGGGAGTTGTTTATGATGAGTGGCAAATGGAAGGTATGCCTATGGTGGTGTTTGGGTGTTGGTTTGGAATCAGAAAGGGATTTGAGTATGGGTTATGATGTGTGGGTTTTTGATAGGGAAATTTAATATCTTTTCCCATTTCCTTGTTTGGCAGCACGAGTAATGGTTTGGGTAATAAAAGGGAAAATGACTAAAAGATCATTTCTCATACAGAGCATGTACTTTTACATAGGGATATTTTAGTCATTTTACACACCCTATTTATGTCCCACTCAACTAACCATTCCCCCTAGTGGGATAGAATGGGATGATTCGACTAGTTTAGATCTCTCCCTAACAACATCGTTTTCCATACCCAATTTTTTTACAAAAAACATTGAGATAAACCTAGATATTATTTCACTTTTCTTGCCCCTTCTAATATAATACATTCGTCACTCCACATTTTGGTGAGGGTGGTGGGTATTTGGGGGAATGGAATATTATTGTTTTAAATTTGATTGAAAGCTGGGAACTTTGGCTGTATTTTTATTGGAAATTTGAGGTACATTATCTTTAATATATTGTGATCTATTTTGCTGAAACATGAATTTGTTGTGTATTTTGATTCATTTGATGAAAAGTGTTTATAAGGTATAATCTGTAAATTCCCTTATGATGAAACAATATAATGCTACTTTCACCTACTCATCTTGAGGAGTCGCTTACCTTGCTTCTTGATCTTGCAGGTGACAGTTTACCGGTGCCTTGAGAATGGTAGTTTTGGTCTTCTACAAGCTTATGTTGATGAGGATGTGAGAAAGACAATGCCTGATGCCTGTGGTTGTTAATGTTAATTTGACAATATGGTTTATCTAATGCTCATGATGCCTATTTATCTCAGAAGGATGAGTCATTCTATACTCTAAGCTGGACCAAAGATAAAGTTGATGGTGGCTCACCAATGTTGGTGGCTGCAGGAAACAATCGGATCATTCGGGTCATCAATTGTGCTACCGAGAAGTTAGCTAAGGTTTACTACCCTTGACTTAGTCTATGCTTGTATGGAAAAGTTGAGTGAAGATTCATCTTGATATATCAATATTTCAGTAGCTTAGTTGAAAAACCAATTTATCTATGCTCTCTGTTCTAGAACATCAGTTGAATTTGCTTGATTAAGCAATGGTCTTGCTCACACAATATTCTAGGAGTTGAATACTTCAGTATGTCTGTTACGTGATAGCAAATACAGGGTGAATCAGGACATGTACTGGATATTTAATTTCCATTTATGACATTCTCCAGAGCTTAGTTGGCCATGGTGGTTCAATACACGAGATAAAGACTCATGCATCGAAGCCTTCGCTCATCATTTCTGCCAGCAAGGTTAGCAGATAACTTGCTAGGTGTAGAATTTTCATTTTCATTTTGACACTGTTGAATAATATGACATTATTCTATAGGATGAATCTGTTAGGCTATGGAATGTCCATACAGGGATCTGCGTCTTGATCTTTGCAGGAGTTGGAGGCCATCGCCATGACGTGTTGAGTGTCGTAAGTATCGATTGCATCTTGTCTGGACATTGTTTTAAATATTACTTGCCCTGAAGATAACACTCATTGAGATTCTGATGTTACCATTTGTTATTGAGAAGGCCAAATTTCAATTTATAACATCAGGGATAAAGTAAGATCCCATAATTACTGCTACTGTTTTTCTACTTCCATTACATTAGGGCTTAGGCATAAAGGTACTGATCAAAACACATTCTTTTATCTGAAGGACTTCCACCCTACTGAGATCGGGCTTTTTGCAAGTTGTGGCATGGACAACACTGTGAAAATTTGGTCAATGAAAGGTTTGGAAACTACTTCAAAGTAGCTTCATGTTTACATTTAGTGTTGTATGTTGCATATCACTGACAGACTTTTGCCAATGTTGTCACAGAATTTTGGGTATATGTTGAAAAATCATATTCATGGACTGACCATCCGTCAAAGTTTCCAACAAGACATATCCAGTTTCCGGTATGTTAAGCATCTATAATCACCTGAGAGATCCTTTCTTTTAGCAAACTACTGTTGGTGCTTAGTTCTCATGCCATTCAAACATACCTGTTTCTTTCCTTTCAGGTCTTGAGTGCTGCAGTACACTCTGACTTTGTTGATTGTACAAGATGGCTTGGTGACTTCATCCTGTCAAAGGTACCTCATTTGTTAAATGGATACATATTGTTATAGTAATAACGCTGTTCTTTTGTTGGTCTGGTACACCAGACTTTATTGACTTTTAGTCATTAGATTAGTTTGCAACCTATTTTCTTACTCAGTGCTAGTATTGGTTCCTGCATAGGGAATAAAGATCTGATATGTGATAACATGGATTTGCAGAGTGTCGAGAATGAAATTTTGCTTTGGGAACCAAAACCAGATAAGAATAGGCATGGGGAGGTGACATGCTTTAACTTCTCCCGAATTGTGTGCTTATTTTAGTATCATACTTATCTACAGTTTGAAACTTGTCTGGTGATGTTTTCAGTTTCTGAACACTAACTCACATACTAAATTTATATCTCTGAATCAATATAATTTTCTCTTTCTTCGTATAGGGAAGCGTTGATATTCTTCAGAAGTACCCTGTGCCACAGGGTACATTATGGTTTATGAAATTTTCATGTGATTTTCACTTCAACCAGTTGGCAGTAGGTAATATCTTCTGTAAGGACTGTGTTCTGACACTAAAGCTTTATCTAATATTAGTTTTACTTTGTAAATTTCACAACCACAAGTTGTCAAAGATCTTTTTTGTTAACACAATGTTCATACTTGTAGAAACTATGATTTTCGTAGATTTTTTTCTGCAGACCAATACTTATTTGTGGAAAACATGGTTTTAGTAGCCCGCTATTGCTTTTTCATAGGGTCTACTGCTATGACATCGCTAATCGTTCCACTATTGCAGCTTAGGATGCTATAGCCCCGCTAAACACCACTCTTTGCCTTACCTGGAAAATATTTTTAGTATCACTAATCCTGACTGAGGCAAATATTCATTCCTTATTCTAGATGACTATAACATATGCTTCTGTATTGTGTTCTTTACTTAAAAAATGATGAAATAAATAGTTGAACAATTATCTATTGATGATTGTTGAATTTTGAAAGGATATGAATGTTGATTGTAGCCAGAGTATGTCGATTAATTAATAAATGTTAAGTAATGGACCTAGAAACATGTTGTTTAGGCTATCTCCAACAACGACACCCAAAATATAAGACCCATTCGTCCTTTGGGTAGCGCTACAGGCAAAATGTTCAATACCTATTCGGCATCTTCTCCAACAACAAGACCCAAAAGATAATCATTTCTGCAAATGGGTTTTCAGGAGAGAGGATGCCCATATTTGGGTTGTGTCTCTCAGGTAACCCAAAATAGGTCTCCCGTATATGTACTCTGTTGGAGGTTGATTTTTGGTCTCTTACTACCCATTTTGGGTTTGGGTGCCCATATGGGTTCTTTGTTGGAGACAACCATATATACATCTTTGAGTATTCTTTGTTCATGGAATTTTCTTAGTTATATGTTTTTGTGCATAATTAATTAATATTTTTATGTTTAATATAGGACCGCTAAATGAAATATCTTCCGCTATATCCTTGTATAGCTTTTTGTAGCTCCTAGAGAAAGCTGCCGCTAAATGTCTTATCCCGCTATTTAAAATATTGGTGCAAAATAAATTCAGTATATGTTTGGTTAAATTTTAAGGAACAAATCTTTTAATTAAGATTCTGAATAATCATCGGCTGCTTCAAACAGGCAACAGTAACGGTGAGATCTATGTTTGGGAAGTACAGTCCTGCCCGCCTGTCTTAATTGATCGGTAATTTTTACTGCATCAGTTTCAGTTGTTCTTCTCCTCCTCTTGCATCGATTCTGCATAACTAGTAACTCCTATGCTTCTGGATGCAAACACTTCATCATTTTTAGGCTGTCTAATCAGGAATGCAAATCGCCAATAAGGCAGACTGCGGTGTCCGTCGATGGGAGGTACCTCACTCTGCTGATGCATTGCACGTAATGTGCTTGCTTATTTCATTTTTCTGTTTTTGCAATGGATGGATATCAATGTGATGTTGGTTTACTTGTCCAGCACAATCCTTGGAGCTGGCGATGATGGCACCATCTGGCGATGGGACGAAGTGAGTCCTTCCAGCTCCAAAACTGAAGCAATTCAAGCTGCTGTGGCCGCCGATGCCAATGCCTGAGGATTATTGTCGTTGGTTTACATTGTACTCCGTGCTGATTAGCCTTATCGTTGGTTGTTCCAGAGTAAGAGTGGTTGGTTAACTGAATGTTAAATGTTAGGATGCTGGTTCTGTTATGCTCTGAATGTCGTAACTTGTGTGATGACGCTCGTTGTGTTAAACGGTTAATCTGCACTGTGGAGTTGTGGATGCGATAAATAACTTGATCGTGACTTCGGAATCCATATCATCAACTCGTCATCTGTTTGTTCTGCATTCTCTAGAATTAGTGAAGCTGTGTTCCTAAGCCCATATGCGGAAATTACAATAAATCTCAAAGGTCTATTGTGTGTGTTTCCTAATGGGCTTTAATATCTAAGCCCATAAGTAGAGGTGTAAGGTGCGTCATCAATTAGTATCATATTGCTAGTTGATGTTAGAGGAGTTCTTTATACACATACACACACGCACACGCGCGCGCACACACCAACCCCTCCTGCAAAATGCACACCGGAACTAGTACATGGGAGCCCCTAGGTTTAATTGAGAATCATAAGGTAGTCAATTAGATCTTTTTTCTCATCTCCCTATTGTGCTGCCACTGTAGTGTATTCCACCCCGACCGTCAGAGCAGATCTCCGGAACCCTTTGCTCTTGTGATCTTGCACTGGAAGAGGGCGAACTAATAGTTTTATTTGGGAGTGCTTAGCACGACTACCCGCGTTCTTCACCGTAGGCCTCCTACAATTCAAGTTGAGGTGTTGTATAATGTGGTCTTCATTGTCGGCTGCTTCGACTAGTACTCACCAATGTCGTTGTCAACATCGCTCCTCCATCTTCACCAGTTACGGTGACACCATGTGTAGACATTCAGCTCGGTCATCGTCATATGGAATGGCGCTGCACTGCATCGAGTTGCTACACTGCCGCTCAGCTAAATCAGTGAGGCTCGATCACCTGAGTAACAACGCAGCTGGTGCCTCCGGCACTGGTTTCTCTTAAGGGTAAAATTTTCTAACTCTTGTGTTATGGTCTATTGTATTTATTCCAATACTATTTACTGTCGTATATGCTAGTTTATTATGAGAGATGTCAAGCTTTATTTAAATAATACTGGAATCGTGACTTTGTTTCCTCTGTAATGATTTATATTCCGAATATATATGACCCTACAAATGTCTAATTTTCCATCAGCCTGCCTGGGCCTAGCTGCCTGATTTTTTCAAAACATGCTGCTGATGTTGGGGGTGATATCCAATAATCCAAATGAAAACATCATTTGGTAAAAACGAGGAGACTACTCCATACAAGTATAAAACATGCTGTTTGATTTTTTAGTTCTAAAAGGAAGGAGAAAAGAAAGCAAATTTTAGAAAAACTGGGTTGTCTCGTAGCATTAGAAAACTAAAACTGTAGGTATGTTTGGTCAAATTTGCTCTGTGTGCGCCCAATTCCCAACTGGATTTGTACCTAAACTCCAACTTCCTTGGTTCCTAATCGTAGCTCTTGATAGTTGGACCTCCACTTACAAGGTCACTACTATGTAGTGGTGAATGATACCGGTAGCAATTATGTTTTGTGAAATGATGTTGCTGGCTAAATGCATTGCTGGTATGTGTCTGCATCTTACTTTTTCTTGTTGCTTGGCCGTGACAACAGTTCCGTCACACATTTCTCATGGAGAGGAAGACTTGACTGAAACTAATTAGCACTCATTCCTACCAAGCTGCAGAATAGTTCCGTCACACATTACAGGTATCTATAAAAGACTATAAGTTTGAGGCGGGTCACGTCGAATCACTGTTCATCCGGTGCGCATGCAGACTCAGATCACTGATGAACAGTATCCGACCCGATAAGGAACAGTACCATTTTTTTTTTCCCCTCAATGCGTCCACTGTTGCCCGCGCGAAGCGCGGGGTTACCTGCTAGTATATATATATATGTGCCTCTCTGGATCCTTGTCAGCTCGGACTTGCATCTTTGCATCAGCCCAGCATGGCTTCCATCGGCAGGGTTTTTCTACTCTGTCTTGCTCTTGCTCAGCTCCACACAGTAGTACTCTCTAGCACCCACCATGCACCTGGTGGTGGTAACCTCACAGTCATTCATCACCTCCCCGTCCCGTTTCTTTGCCATCCAGACCAAGCAAAGGCGCTCCTCCAGCTGAAGAAGTCATTCTCCTTTGTTTATTCTACAACCACGCTTTCGTCATGGCGAGATGGTAGCGACTGCTGTCTCTGGGAAGGTGTTGGCTGCGACTCCTCGTCTGGAAATGTCACCATCCTCGACCTCAACAATCGTGGCTTGTTCAGTTATGGCTTGGACCCTGAAGTCTTCAGCCTCACATCCCTTCGTCGCCTTGATCTTAGCATGAACGATTTCTCTGGAGATTCAGTAGAACACGGCGTATATATGGCTGACAGCAACATCCCAGCTGGATTAGAGAGGTTCACTTTGCTAACCCATCTAAACCTTTCTAATCTGGGCTTGCGTGGCCCGATACCTATTGGCGTCGGTGAACTCTTGAACCTTGTCTCCTTGGATCTTTCCAGTTACTTTGTATCTGATGAATACGACGACTCCTTTTTTTATCTTTCTAACTATCTGTGGGTACCCAGTTTTGATACCCTAGTGGCAAACCTCAGAAATCTAAGAGAGCTCTACCTTGATGGAGTGGACTTCTATCTTGTTCGAGAAGAGTGGTGCTCATCTCTTGCTACATACGTTCCTCATCTTGAGGTACTCAGCTTGGCCAATTGTGGCCTGACTGGTCCTGTTTGTACATCACTGTTAGGACTCAGTTCTCTCGCTGTTCTCAACCTCCAAGAAAACGAGGGTATAACTGCTGGTCCATTTCCAGAGTTCTTAATGGATTTTCTCAATCTAACTATGCTTCAACTTTCTAATGTCAACCTCGAGGGGTGGTTCCCCTCCAGACCCTTTCAATCAAAAAATCTAAGGGTTCTCGATTTGTCCAGTAATGAGAATCTCTCAGGGCATGTGCCAAACTTTTCTAATGCAAGTTCTCTGGAGAGTTTGATGCTAGATGGGACCAACTTTTTGCCTGCCAAACCAACGTCTTCCAGCAACTTCAAGTCGTTGAAGGAGTTAGCGCTTGATGGGAATTCAGTATCAGTGGATTTCCTGTCTTCATTTGGTACACTTGGGTCTTTATGCCAGTTGGACCTCACGGTCAAGTCTATCAGTGAGTTAGGATCAACTTTCTCATGGTACTCTCTGGATGTGACTTCTCTGGGATAACGCCTACCTTATTTAGCGACTTGAAGACCTTGAGAAGTTTAACAATAGTTGATCGCAAACTCCCTAGGCTAGTACTTCATGCAGTTGGAAACATCATCAGCTTGCGAACACTTGAAATGGATAGCTGCACAACATATGGTTCCATGCCGTCTTCTATCGGTAACCTCACAAATTTGAGGAACATGCATATAAGTGATTGTGGGTTTTCAGGGCCATTACCGGCTGCAATTGGCAGACTCACAAATTTGAGAACCATGTATATAGATTACGGTGGGTTTTCAGGGCCAATTCCAGCTACAATTGGCAAGCTCACTAATGTTGAAAGTATGCACATTTGTGCTGAGTTTTCTGGGCCAATGCCAGCTACAATTGGCAACCTCACAAACTTGAAAACTATGTTTGTACAAGGTCAGTTTTCCGGGTCAATGCCAGATACAATTGGCAACCTCACTCACTTGAACAGTATGGAATTTTATGGTGAGTTTTCTGGGTCATCGGTACCGCATACAATTGGGCAGCTCAGTCAATTGGCGAGGTTAAATATTGGAGATTCCAACTATTCTGGAAGCATACCGAGTTCAATGGCAAATTTGACTCAGTTAACAGAGCTGATTCTTTCTTTTAATTCTCTGAATGGTAGCAATACTATCTCTTGACTCATTTTCTTAACGTACCCTTAATCTTGTGTTTACTTGCTAAACATTTTGGAGTACATCACTTACCTCCCTATGAGCTACACACCAGTTGCGACAAAATAGTCTGATTACAGCTAATAATAAACTATTTTTGTTTGAAAGGATGGCAAGAAATTTGCCGCGATTTTTATTAGACAAGAGAACAAAAAAAACACATTACAGCTGTCCAACTAGGGACGACTCCACCCAAAAAACTTGAAAACTGAGAGAAGAAGATAAAGAAAGAAGGCCCCGTGGTAGAAGTATCCACCCAACTAGAAAGAAAAAAAACATAACTATAACAACAGAATAAAAATCAAGCCGTAAGCTAGATCAATGAACTCTTATTCACAAAAAAGAAGATCAAGAGTGCACAACGGATCCAGCCCATCTCGCTATACCCATGAGCTGGCACCCCACAAACCTAGGTCCTTTAGAGCCCATAACATACCAAGTTCTCGGGTCTAACTCAACATAAAAGACTAGTGTGATAGGTGAGGCTTGTGCCACCTTATATGTTGTGCTCCCCCAACACCAATTCCGATGTGAGACTAAACGTAGCACTTCTTCTTGGAGTGCAAAGTAGATCTATACTAACCGAATAATGCAGAAGAATAACACCATAGAAGAAAATAAGTAAACGAGAATGACACCAAGGCACAATGTTTTTACGAGGTTCGACGATGTGCGCCTACATCCTCAAGCCATGACTACGTACGCTTTTCCCCATAAACCAGTAGCTACACTAGGCATTCAGGTGGTCTTGCAGCCTCGACGCTGTCCAAACCAGCCGCCAAGGCGTCCCATGGTTATAACAACGGTTGCCTCATATTTATGGACCCTAGTATACAGAGTTCAACTCTAACTCTATCTTAATTTCTAATACAACGCAAGTCATAGCATAACAAAATTATACACATATTCGACACATATCAAACAAATCTCAACTTGATGAATATGCAAGACACCTTGAAGTCGTTCGTGTGTGAGCCTCCGTGTACCCGAATTGAGTTGTCGCCTTTGCAGCTCCATGAAACACTACTACGTTCAAGGTTTTATGAGGTGGGAGAACTGATTTTCAAAGGCAGGCAAACAGTCTGCCTCTAGTAAATGTCATTGTAAATCGAGATTTAAGCCCATTGGCGAGCCCGTTCCTGAGCCCGCTGTTGATATTTATAAGTGCAAATAGAATATGAAGGATTCCGCAAGCGCACAAAATACCATTGTAGCATTTTACCAGGAGTATTCCAAGTATCATTATTTATATTTTACCACAGGGAAACAATGGAGTAAAGATTTATTGGATAACAAAGGAATGTCTACTAATCAACATACCAACATAGTTAGAGCAAGGGGTAGAGATAATAATAGGAATTAAGGATAATGACACTCAGGGAATAGATCATTAAGATAATGTAAACTAGTTAACTTAGGAGAACAAAGGGTGAGGTAGATTCCTATGATATTCTTATTACAGGATCAAAGTATATATATACCTGACTATAGCTAAGACTAACTCTACTCTTGTGCACTTCGGGATGCCGCTTAGACGGTAGAGCACCCACAATAGATAACTCTACTGACGTGACTACGGTCCTACAATTTAAGAACTTGCTCAATTCGATATGGACTACAAAGGATAGACGGGGCTATCACCTCCCGCTGCTACCATACAACTAGAGAACAGGGTGTACTCACAGGCAGAGCATTGTATAAGCACCATGCTTACACGCGGCTTGGCTACTTAATCTAACCATGGTAAACTAGCAGGCTAAGCGCTCTATGAACCCACACACAAAAGTAATGATAACCTCAACTAAGTAAGATACATATTAAAAGTAAGCATAGCCATGTAGATAGGAATATGATGAATTGATAATAAGTCTTACAAGATGTAGAAGTGAAGATACAAGGCTTTGCTGAGCCTCCAAGACTAGATCTGGAACTTGAGCATGAGCTCAACTCGACCCTCACTCCCGAGCTACTAGTCTACTACATTGGAGAGTCTAGACCTAATCCTCCTGGTGTATCTTGATCTCTAAAGGAGAGATATGAATTAGGGTTTCAGGAATGCCTAAGGGAGGGGGGTAGGGGCTGGTATATATAGGCCGAAGCGTCCATCGTGAGCCCTTCGATCAAACCGACTTAAAGGATGGCGTAGATGCATCCTAGGAGGTGGTGGAGAACCGACATTGTGATGCGGAGGCTGACAGTGGGCCCTAGGGGCCGGGCGGCCTGTAGGTGGGGCTGGCTGGCCCCACATGGTAGCCACCTGCCCTCCGCTTCGGTGGTTTGCCTTCTAGAGTCTTCTAGAGTCTTCCCACGTTGGTTTCACTGTGGATAAATATGATTTGCTTTGACGAATAGGCTCTCCTTGATGGTTTTCTGAGTAAATCCTCCTATAAACAAAGATTCACCAAAACTTGTGGAATCTATTAGTTTAAACCCCTAGACCTATGTTCGTGATCCTTTTTATGTATTTATATGTTATATTGATGGTTTATGATGAATGTTAACTACCGTCAACAAGCCCCTCCACACTTAACCTTTGCTAGTCCCTGAGCAAAGCCAAACTCAGCAATGGATCAGAAGTTGCTATAATGCTTTCACTCCTCAAAAGTACACATGCGTTCAATCAAGAATTCTCCTCCGAATTATAATAAACTGATCTAACTTTCAAACTTACCCGTATTACCTTCAACCATGGGGCTTCTTAGCCTTCACTTGGGTCTTGAGCAATTGAAAGACAGAATGATCAAGTCAAGCACTAGTCTCAAGTTCGTTGTTCCACCATTGTTCCGGAGTTTTTATAAGTTTTCAAAATAAAACTCAGAGATTCCTTTGTATGACACTCTCAAGTCTCTCAATATATATGGTATTTGTGGATCATCACCAAGGCAATAAAGATGTTATGCCTTTTTCTCTTCGTACCACTAAGGCTTATGTGGAGTTCATAGGTAGGGAGAAAGCTAGAGCATACTTGCAATGCATATATTGTAAAGTTAAACCTCGGATCCATAGAGAGTTGAGTCATACAATCAAATCAAGATGTGCATGTGTGTGGATATATGAGATGGATATATGTGGTGGCTAACCTAATTCTACTATGCTCCTTGAAAACTTATCTTTCTTTTGAAACTTAGAAATATTTTTGCAAGAGAATAGGGGCTATCTTATTCATCTCTCTCTTCTTCTTTTTTTTCTTTTTAGGCAGGCATTTAAGTACCCATTGTTTTAAATATCTCGGACACTTGTCCATTTTCTCAACTTTTTTTCTTTTTTTATGAATAACTTTTGCATAGCCCCCTGTCTCTTTTCTACAACAAAACTTTGAGAGATAGCAACAAGAACTTGGAGCATTTATTTGGTGGATGGAAAACCTAACAAACATATTTTTGTGTTCACCCCCAGTGTAAGAGTAGAATATTTTTGGGTGGATCAAGATGGAAGGCATGTTTTTGCACCTACCCCAGTGTAGAAGTAGTGCATATTTGGGTGATGTGTACATGATCTTGATTTTAAGAGCATGACAAACCTCTCATAAGGGTCAACAAAGCTTGACAAAACCAAGTTTTCTAGCCTAAATAACATGTATGACTCTGGTGGGAATTTAAGCTTTGTCATACAAGAATTCATCATGTAGCATTTTTATGTTTTTTAAAAAAATAAATCTTCAGAACTTTAGTATCACTTGGAACAAGATAAACAACAGCTCAGACCTTCTCATATCATATCCGTCAATTATCTAGACTTAGATCAAGCATGTGCTACCCACAAGTTTCAAGTTCAGAGTAAATCCTTATATCAAAACAATTTTATCCAAAACTCGAGAGAATTCAAGGCTGAAAACTAGGTACTTAAAAGGAATTACAATAGAGCAACTATTTATTATTTCCATTTTAAGAGATTATCTCCAAAGTCCTTTTATTTTATTCAGCTCTTAAAACAAATTAAATCAAACTGGACACACTCTCTTTATTTTGTTTTCATTTTTTAGATCACACATTATAACTATATATATTTCTATAAAGATAACTTTTACTTTATTTTTAGTTATTCATCTTTTTTCTAATATATATAAAGTAAACTAAGAATAATAAAAGGAAAGAAATACTTATCTGGATACACGGGGAATGCCTTCTCCCCCAAGCTGGTTGTTGTCGTGGTTGCTCAACGAGGTGACCGGATGTGGAGGTGCTAGAACAGAGCCTTCCAATTTTGATTTTGTTGATGCTGTTGTTGCTGGAAGCTGGCCATCTTCTGTCCCATGCTTACCTGCCATTGTGTATGATTGTGTAACGTACCTTCAATGGTTGCGAGTCTATTGTCAAAGCGGTGGTAGGCCTCCTAAGAGTCATGATACCCTCGGCCAGAGAAAGACATGCGTCCTCCCTGATGCGCACTTGAGGTTGCTTCATAATCTTGCACTTGGTAGTTATGGAAGTTCATTGATTGAGTACCTTGATTCGTTCTTGAAGATGAGGATTCTTGTGGTGGCGCCTCCAGTAGTGGCGCTTCCACTAGTGGTGCCACTTTATTTTGCCAAACCCATCTTGGTGTTGAGTTTGATTTAGGTTTGACAGGTTCATCCTTTCTTGACTTGTTCTTCCTCCTTGTTTAGCGTTTTGAAGCCAACCATCAGTAATAGAAACGGGCGACCTCTTGTGTGCATCATTATTACCGGTTTAGAATTTTCACTCGTAGAATTTGGGGGATCGATTCCCCCACACTTTTCTCAAAGTGTGTTCTACTCATAAAGACAAGGTAGAGATCAAGTGCATGGGCTCTGTTGGTGGAAAAACACCAACAGAACCAAAACTGTATTTACTCTTCTCTAGCCTTAGGCATAATGAATCATGATAGACTTAATGTTATGTGCATTATTTATTCTTATAACATGGGTGATAAAATTAGAAAGATGTAGCATTTTGACCGTGACAAAAAGAGTGGAGTTGCTTAACCTATGGAAGGATTGTCCATCTTTATAATGTATCAAACTTTACATGATTATGACTATCATCCTCCAAGGGTAAGATATGCAGCATACAGTACATTACCAAATCAAATGTGCGCACAAGCATCGCACTTATTACATGAGAGACCATGCAGCATGAATGCTTCACAGTCGATACAGAGGAAAGCCACACAGGTCCAAATCCGTGAGCATAGACACAACCATAGCGCCAGGACACACATGTAAAACAAGTTACCAAACTCACAGACACACTCAGTCGACACACATGCAGAATATAAATGCACACCACAAACAGCAGATAGAAACACACAATGGTAAATTATGTAAGCACACAAATAAATACCTTGGGAGGGACTCGATGGTGAACCTTCAGTTCCTCCTGCGCCAACCCTTGTCCTTCCAGATGTATAGGCAACTTGGAACACTATCCTCTTTTCCTGTGCTTCTTCCTGTTTGATCTTGCCTCTCCTGTTTGTAGTGTGTACAATGAATCATATCTTTGTGCTTGTGTTTATCAATGCCTTCTTTCACCTGGTCTGGTAGAGAGTCCCCAGTGAACTCAAGTTCCTTCAATCTTGGAAGGTGCTCGATGCCGGATAAAGAGCTCCCTTGGTCGAAGGTCCATACGATCTTCTCAAGCTTAGGAGCAGACCCACGCTCGAATTTGATCTCGGTGATTTCAGGGCACTTGACAATAAGAAGGTTGAGTTTTGCATACTCATCTTTATTTAAATCAAGCCGGTTTTGGTTATAAGACCCTTGCAAGAGCACCAGGCAGCGTATGTTTTCCATCCTTGCGAGGGTTCTCATACCATCTTCCGCCAGCATTGTACCACGAAGAGTCACCTTGGATATTTGTTTGGCATCGGAAAGCAATTTCGGAAGCAACACATTGTTACTGGAGGTGGTGGGGCCAGAGAGTGAGGGATTGGCGGTGTCAGCAGTGGTAATATGGGCTGTGGGATTGGCGGCGACCCCAGTTGGGGGAGAGGGGGCGGGGTGAGTGGTGGAGGGGACGACAGTGGTAGTGTTCCGGGGAAGGGGTGAGGGATTGGCGGCGCTCCCAGTTGAGGAAGAGGGAGCAGGGTTAGGGCCTGTTGGTGTGGAGGGGATGACAGTGGTAGTGTTCGGGGGAAGGGGTGAGGGATTGGCGGTGTCAATTGTGGAAGTATGGGGTGAGGGATTGGCGGCGCCCCCAGTTGAGGCAGAGGGAGCAGGGTTAGGGCCTGTTGGTGTGGAGGGGATGACAATGGTAGTGTTCGGGGGAAGGGGTGAGGGATTGGCAGCGTCAATTGTGGAAGTATGGGGTGAGGGATTGGCGGCGCCCCCAGTTGAGGGAGAGGGAGCAGGGTTAGGGCCTATTGGTGTGGAGGGGGCGACAGTGGTAGTGTTCGGGGGAAGGGGTGAGGGATTCGCGGCACCCCCAGTTGGGGAAGAGGGGGCGGGGTGAGTGCCTGTTGGGGTGGAGGGGACGACAGTGGTAGTGTTCAGAGGAAGGGGTGAGGGATTGGCGGCAGTGGTAGCAGCAAGGGCGGAGGGGTCTTGATTGGTGGCAGCAGTGTCGGTGCTGCCTCCACTGTTGTTGCTGCTCTTGTTATATTTGTTCAGTTCAAGCTCCTCCAATTTTTTAAGGTGGTCTACTCCAGCAATATACTCTATGTTGTCAAAGGACAAAACAATCTTCTCGAGCTCTGGAGCTGCTGTACCTTCTTCAAAACTGATTTCAATCCAGTTGGAGCCCTCGACAAGAAAGTACCTGAGTTTCTTGAATTCACCCTTCTTGAATGTGAGTTTGTTGTCGCTGTATGTATTGTGCCGAAGCTTCAGACATTGTAACTTGGGCAGATTGGAGAGGGCCTCTAGGATAGTCGGATCCAGTGAGGCGTTACTTAAAGTTACCTTAATAAGTGTGGTATTTTTGTCGGTTAGCAATAATGTAGAAAGCTGCCCCTGTAGTATGTTTCCACTGATACTGAGCCTCTCAAGAACCTTGGGGGACTCTCTGGTTTGGTTGTCAAGAACCTTGGTTGACTGTTTCTGCTCTCTCGAATCTATGCTACGAGCGCCCTTGTCTCTCTGGTTGTGTCAAGAGTAATTGACAAAGACTGGAGGCACTCATGTCTCCAGTTACTTGTTTGATGTCTTGCTCCTGGGCTTGTTGGGGCTTGCTGGCGGTTACTGATGGGTGGGAACACCTGATGCAGGATTTGTGTATATTGGGTAACATCGTGAATAATCCGCTGTTCCGTGCTTACTCCTTCATTTACTTGCTCCATATGCTTTTTGAGCATCTCGGATGTTTGCTTGATTATGTCATCGTAGTGTTGTGCTAATGCAGGCATAGATTTCATCAGCAGAAGCAGTACCAAGAGTACACCTAAGGAGGTTTCTTTGGTGATTTTTTCTTGTGCTTCCTTTTTCTTTGGTCCGTCCAGGACCTCCAGCTGCTTGTCCTCCTTGGCTTTTTCAATGTAGGCCTCCAGGTACAGCTTCAGTTGCTTGTTCTCCTTGGCGTTTTCAATGTAGGTCATGATCTCTTCAACCTTTCTTATAACATTCAAAGGTTCGATATCTTTCTTGATTTTACTAATCACTGCCCTTTTTTCCCCGCGGATTTGCCGCCAATCAATCCCTTGGCCTTGCTGCTGCTGCTGCTGCCGGAGCTCGATCTCCCTCAGGATGTAGTAGAGGATATTCTTGGGTCCTAGCATTCTCCAATAGTGCAGTAATGGGATGTCCACCAAGATAGTGTTCTTGACGTGCTTCTCTGCCACAGCCGAAGCTTGACGTGCAATGGCACCGGAGTTCTCCGTGTCCGGCACCACAAAGGCAACGCATCGGGTGTCGTGTTGCCATTTGCTTTCCCTCCACTGATGTCGAACTTGCTCTATCCACACGGCTAACTGGTCGTTGAAGTAGTCCTCCAGGACGTAAAGTCCAAAGAGGGCTCTTCTGATTCGACCAGAACCATCAGTCGCCGTTGCCCCCGCCACTTGGTCGTGCTCGTGCTCGTCTTCTTCACCATCGAGGTGGACGAAAGCAGCTTCGGCGCTGCCTTCTGCGGCTGCCGACCCACCAGTACCAGGTGGAACGGCCGCCTTCTTCGGGATCTCCACGCCGTACCTTAGCCGCCGCTTGCCGACGTCCCGCGCACGCTCCTTGAGCTCGCTGAGCTCCAAGGCAGCTCGGTGCTGCGCCAACATCTTCTGCAGGAACCACGGGAACCACCGGAGGTAGCGCCGGAGCCGGTCCCTGCCCAGGTGGATGTCGGGGTTGCCGCGGTACAGGTAGAGGTCGATGCAGTTGTTGCAGTCCTGTGCGAGCAGCCGGACCTGGTTCATCCAGGTCCGCACCTGCTCGTCGTGCTCGCTGCTGGGCGGCGCCGTCCTGGCCAGGTGCATCAGGAAGCTGTTCATGCTCTCCATCTCCTCCCTGATGAACTGGACGTCGCCGCCGACGCGGCCCAGCAACCGCCACTCGTTGCGGATGACGCCAAGCAACGAGGTCACGGCGCCCAACGCGAGCTCAGCCATATTGCTAGCTCTCGCGCCGTCGGCTGCCCGACGGCTGCTGCGCGGTTTCTAGCTCAATCGATTTGGGTTTAGGAGTTTAGCTAGCAAAGGGTGAATGGTGAGTATTGGTGACCAAGCATTCTGCATGCATGCATATGCATATGTGGGATCTGAGCAAAGTATTTGTTTGTCCAGGCATGCGACATGGCTGCATGTGAAGGACAACCCACCGACAAGGCAAGTATAGTATCCGACCGGACCACACATTCTGCATGTCTGAGTGGCAAAGGATTTGTTCTTCGAGTCAGCAGGACATGCTACGTCCACGGCAACCAACGGCAAGTATATATCGGCCAGTTCTTCTTGCTTTATTTTTGTTCTAGTGTATGACATCTATCTAAAATACCACTTAGTCAAATGGGTTAAGATATGCAAGAGCAAAAAGAAGGGTGGTTTAGGTATCAAAGACTTGAGAAAAATGAATCTCGGTCTTTTATGCAAGTGGTGGTGGAAATTAGAGAGGGAGGAAGGATTATGGCAAGAAATTGTCAAATCCAAATATCTGCATAACAAATCTATTGTCTCTGTAACACATAAACAAACTGATTCCCCTATCTGGTATGACTTGCTCAACGTGAGGGATATTTACCTCCAGGGAAGAGGTATTAGATTCAAGAATGGGGAAAAAACTAGGTTTTGGTGTGATCCTTGGTTATATGATAAATCTATCCTTGCAATTGTCCCAGCCCTTTTTATCTTGTGTGATCAAAAGGAAGTCAGTGCTGCTGATGTGAAAAGTGGTCAAATCCAGATCACATTTAGAAGATGGCTAACTGATGATCTTCAGTCCTGTTGGGATAAAGTTTGTTCTGGTGTTGACAGCTTTTTCCTTCAGGAAGGGGAAGACGTCATCATTTGGAAATTTGAAAGGGCTTTGTTTAGGTACCTCCAAATAACTGTGGATTGTTGATCTGTATGTCTTTTATCACATATTACTTCATAGGAGGTAATAGTAAAATTATATATTTAATTATTTTTTATTTTGGAAGGAAATGAAGTGCCAAAATATGTTGTCTATTTCTTTTTGGAAAGTTTGGTACTGATTTTTCTTTAACGTGATGGAGAGTCAACAATGATTTTTTTTTAACGTGACAGGTGTGTGTATGGTACAGGTAATCTTTTTGGAACGTGATATATACAGGTGCGTTTTTTTTAGAACGTGATATACACAAACGTGTGTACAACTCCTAGTATTAGTTTTTTTCCTTACGTGATAGTTAAGGTGTAACACTTTTTAAAAGACCCTCTCAATTATGTAAGCCTAATGTATACACTCAACTATGTAACATGTTAGCATGTAACAATTTTAGATTGCCAAAGTTAGCATGTGTGGGGGTATTAACCCCTATACGCTTACGGCTAGGATTGGGCCGGCCCGGACTAGAGGGTCTGGCCCACTAGAAGATGACGCGTGGCCCGGCCAATTTGCTTGGAGTCCCGCGCAAGGAATCAAGGCAGATTTGGAGATCAAGCAAGATCCTAATCGGTTAGAATATGAATCCTTATCCGATCACCTATGGCAATTGTAACCGGTTAGAATTAGTTTCCAGATCTGTAACCTTGCTGCCCAGACTATATAAGGCGGGCAGGGGACCCCTCTCAAGACATCTCTCATTGACATACAGCAATACAATCAGACGCAGGACGTAGGTATTATGCCATCACGGCGGCCGAACCTGGATAAAACCTCGTGTTTGTCTTGCGTCACCATCTTGTTTGTAGCTTGCGCATCTGTCTGCCAATAATCTACTACCTTGGGCATACCCCTAGGTAGACTGCCGACCATATTTCGTCGACAGTGGCACGCCAGGTAGGGGGTGTGCGTACTGCTCTCCAGACGAACAAGATGGTCATCATTCCCGGTTCCATGGCTACGCCGAACGGCCTCACGTTCACCATCGGCCAGATCACCTGGACCACTGGCTCCGACGACTTCATCGCCATGACCACGGAGGAGGCGCGGATTCAATCTGTGTCGACCACTGCTTCATCTGCATCGGCTACGGCTCCGACCACAGTGGATCTGGCTCCGGCCACGCCAGTATCGTCTTCAGCCACGCCGATAACCCGTCGTCCGCTTCCTCGCTACAAAGGGAGGCAGATCCACAACACCGACCTGCTCGACTCCATCGATCGGGTCGGCACCAAACTTTTCGAAACCCTAGCTCTGGTAAGTTCGATTCAAAGTCAACCTAATGAGCAGGTAACCACTACCCACAACAGATCTACCCGACCAGCTCGGGCCAGTCGTCCTGCACGACTCGGTACGGATCTCGTGGTCACATCTACTCCTGAAGGGCGCTCCGTTCGTAGCTGGCCAGCCCCCGCGACGGGTCTCCGGCTCTCCGAGTACGAAGCCTCGATGGAGAACTACCAGGCTCAGCCCTACGGCCTGCGCAACTTCGTCAACATGGTCCGGATTGAGGAGTATCAAGAAGGATCGGTCCACACAGTTCAAGAGGGTGGCTCAAGCTCCCCGTCCGGCGTCGCATCTAATGCCTCCGTCCACACCGAGCTCTAGCATCATGACAATGAAGGCGTTGAATACGATCTGGATGTCCCAGACCACGCCCTGGGTTTCCCACGATTCCCATCCTTCCCACCAAGGCGAGGAGACTTGATCAATGTTGTCAGTAATGACGAACCACTGGCAGTTGGCGAAACAGAACAAGAAAGGCTGGCACGCGAAGCATGCAGTATTGATCGGTTTAATCGCCGACAAGTCAAAGTCGAGGCAGAAGAGGAGGCACGACGCATAAGGGTCCAGCCACACGATCTTAACAATGCCTTTGACAGGGTGGGGGACAAGCAGGTCTTCAGGACTCCAAGCGCCAACGTAGTTGTTGCTATGGCGACAATGCAACGACCCAATACCCCGGAAACCCAGGCAGTTCGTGATGATATACAAGCTTACTTGACGGCTGCTATGGCCCAGACCACAGAGATTGTAAATCAAGCCCGGGCTCCATCCATCTCAGTCGAATCAAGCCACAGCCACCAGTACTCAAGTCGCTCACAGCCACCCAACCAACGTGGCTCGCGCAACAACGACCCATCAGACAATCGTCAAGGCGGAAACGGTGGTCATGATGGTGGTCAGGACGACAACCGCCACGACTACCGGGATGACAACCGCCGAGACAACCGCGACAATCGCCGTGATAACCACGGTCGCAGGGTTAACCAGGGTGGCAATCGGGGTCGCCGTGATGGCAATAACGATCTTCGCCATTCCCTCGGAGAACACGATCTGCGCGATCGCATTAACCGAAGAGCCAACGATCGTGCATCCCACGAAAGCTATCGTCGTATGGAATATGATACTACCCACGGCCCTCCGGGTTTGAAACAGTTTACTCCACACCTTCGCCAAGTCATATGGCCCAAGAACTTCAAGCTCGAAAAACTTCAGAAGTACGACGGCAAGGAGAACCCCGAATTATGAGTCATGCTCTACGAAACCATGTGCAGATCAGCCATGGCTGACGAGCACGTCATGTCTAATTACTTCCCAGTCGCCGTCGGCCATGCAGGCCACCAATGGCTGGTCAGCTTGCCGGCGAACTACTTTGATTCTTGGCAAGAGCTCAAGCAAGCATTCATTGACAACTTCATTGCTACTTGCGAGCAACCCAGCAACAAATATGATCTGCAACGGATTCGAGATCGCAAAGATGAGCCACTGCGCGAGTACGTCCGACGTTTCTCGGAGATGCGCATCAAGGTCCTGTCAATCTCCGACAACGAGGCAATCGAAGCTTTCATCACTGGTCTCCGCTTCCACGATGCCCTAAGGGACAAGCTCCTCCACAAAAGACCTGAATCGGTCACAGCGCTCCTAGCCACTGCTAAAAAATATGCGGATGCCGATGATGCTAAAAAGATAATCGTCGAAGAAGCAGCAAGGGTTCCACGCTCCGACCACCCCCACACCGTGACGACTACCGCGACAACCATGGTCGGAACGACAATTTTGATCGCCGCAACCAGCGCAACGATTCCCACGATCACCGCGACCAGCGTAATCAACGGCGTAATCGCCGTGACGATTACAGGGGCAAGCGTGCTCGGGAAGACGACGGCGAAGTCAACATCGTTAAAAAAGGTGGCGGACATCGCAATTACGAAGAAGACTATGCCAAAGCATTGAAAGGACCTTGCCAGCTCCATCCCAAGTCAAACCATACCATGGAGGATTGTCGTGTTCTCAAATCCATCTATACGCACCAACAGGCTCCGGATAAATCCGACAAGCTTAACGACGCAGGGGAGCACCGTGACGAGGACAACGATGATGAAGATGTAGATCCCCGTCACAAGTACGTCAAGCCAACCGACCACGTCCATACCATCATTGGGGGCAGAGTGTCCATCGAAACCAAATGAGAGCGCAAGCTGCTCGCTCGCGCCTGCCTAAACGTGGCCAATGCCAACAACCTCGTCACCGATCCACGGCTCCCTCCTTGGTCTCACCGTGAGATCTCCTTTAGCAGAAAGGACCAATGGGCTGCAATACCTGAGCCAGGGCGTTTTCCTCTGGTTCTCGATCCTTGTATCAACAAGGTTCAGTTCGATAGAGTGCTGATTGACGGTGGCAGTTCCATTGATATACTGTTCAAGAATAGTTTGCCGGCCCTGAAGATGACCAAGGCTGATCTCAAGCCATACGAGGCATAGTTCTAGGGTGTTCTCCCCGGACAGAGCTCCACACCTCTCGGGCAGATCACGCTACCTATGCAATTTGGTACTCTAGACCACTTCCGCACCGACTACGTCAACTTCGTGGTCGCTGATTTCGAAGGCACCTACCATGCTATCCTTGGTCGACCAGCGCTCACCAAGTTCATGGTCATACCTCACTACAGGTATTTGGTGCTCAAGATGCCTACTGAGAAGGGGGTTCTAACTCTTAGGGGCAACGTATACACAGCTTACACCTACGAGGAGGACAGCTTCAAAAT